TCTTCTTTATGATAGATGTTTTTGATTTTTTAGAAATTTGAGTGATGATATTTCGACACCCACCAAGCCAAATTCTACGAACATTTTTTTATTTGAATTCTACAGATCTGTAGAATTTAAATAAAAAAATATTTATAGAATTTGGCTTGGTGGGTGTCAAAATATCATCACACAAAGTTTAGAAAAAGTTTGTCGCAATGCAACACTTAATCTTGTCATGGGCATAGGTAATAATGGATAATGTTTCACAAATAGGTAAGTACGTACTAGGCCAAGTATGATACTATAGCATAATGTAGTACTTATACCTAGCATATATTTGATATTGCAAATTTATTGCTATTACCAAATTTGAGGTCATAATTTAAAACTATTACGTTACTATTATGTACTTGTGCTATAAATAAATTGAGATGTTAGTTTGGTATTTAACTGATCAATAATTCAATAATTGGAGTGAATATATAAAAACTTGACACAATCACATACAGTTTTCTTTACCTTACTTCTATTATATTAATATTTTGACAACGTTTTTTGTTTTTTAACTAAGTCAAACTATCAATAAGAAAGTTAAAAGTCATGTTATCAATATGGTTAATAGCAGTGGTGAGAATAAAATTATTAACAAAGTTAGTAGTAAGGATAATGTTAGTAATGAAGTAAATTATGAGACTAATTATGAGGTTGATAGTGAAGATAATTGTAACAGAATTGGCAGTGAGAATTATAATGGAATTTATAGTGATAGTGATAGTGAAACTCATAATAATAAGTGTATATCCAAAGTCTTGCTTAGGGTACTATTTTTAAGCATATCAATATTTGTAAAATTATTTGTTACACTTTTTAATATTTTTGCATTTAGCAATTACTTTAGAAGAAATATCTTACGATTTTTCTTTGTTATCTGTTAGTTACACATTCCAAAAATGGAGCGACGATGATTCTTTTTTTCAAGCTTATAGCTAACATTTCGGATTTTCTGTAATCAAAAAAAGGGTTGAACAACATCATGATGGTACAATAAATCATAGATCTTTTGGATATGAATTCGGAGGGAAATACAATCCTAAAAAAAATGTTGATATCAATGCTCATCATAATCGAAAATCCAAGCGTCAAGGGTGTAGGTAGCATATAAACTTAAATCTCCCTAAAGATGCTACATGTATTATGGTTACAACATTTGTCAATTCTCATAATCATGATCTTTATCTCACAATTAGCAAGTATGGTACCAATTTTCAAGCAATTGTAAAAGATGCATTGAATAATATTGAATTTTATACCAAAAATGGAAATTTCTCAATTGATAAACAACGTCAATTACTAAAAGCCAAATACCCGGATATGGTCTTTTCAGATATGGACCTTTCAAATGCCATCTGATGCTTTAAAACCAAATCTCAAAAACTTGAAGCAGATGCTTCAACTTTATTTTCTTTTCTTACTGAAAAACATTCAAAAGAATTAGGCTGGGTCGTCGAATTTGAATTAGACAATGATAACCATCTTATTCAGCTTTTCTGGATGACGCCCTTACAAGTTTCACTGTGGCTTGAATACCACGATGTTGTTCTTAATGATAATACGTCGAAGACTAATCATTATCAGATGCCTCTTAGTTTATTTTTAATTATTGATAACAACACAAGATCTCGCTTAGTTGCACAAGCATTAGTATCTGATGAAACAGTCGATTCTTATGAGTGAATTCTCCAATGCACAAAAAAAGCTACGAGTGCTAAACTGATAGTTTTTATTACCGATGCAGATCCAGCTATGGACAGTGCACTTAAACAAGTCTACACAACTACCAAGTCATTACACTGTATTTTTCATATAAGT